GCTCAATTATCAGTTACCAATGTAGGAACATTGTTTGCCAACTTCCAAGTGAGGCCTATGTTGATTGACACAGTTAGAGAAACTCAAACTCAAGATCCAATGTTGAGCAAATTGAAAGAAGAAGTTAGTAAAGGTAAGCATACAAATTATACCATTCGAGACGACGGAGCTTTAGTTATGGGAAACAAATTATGTGTTCCGGATGGTTCAAAATTGCAAGAAGAAATTCTAGAAGAGACACATAGTTTAGCTTACGCGATGCATCCAGATAGTACAAAAATATATCGTGTACCCAAAGAACACTATTGGTGGCATGGAAAGAACACTATTGGTGGCATGGAATTAAGAGAGATGCCTCATTTGCCAGCAATTGAAACCAGATCGTCAGAAAATAGCAGGATTGTTACAAATATTGCCTATTCTTGAGTAGAAATGGAAACACATTACTATGGATTTTCTATTTGGACTTCCATGGACTTAGAGTGGACATGATGGCATATGAATCATTGTAGACAGATTGACGAAAACTACTATATTTTTGCCTATTAAAGTCACATACTCGTTAGATAAATTGGCAAAAATATATGTTGATGAGATAATCAGTTTATATGGGGCACCAATATCTATTGTTTCAGATAGAGATTCTCGTTTCACTTCTAAATTTTGGCCCAGTTTGCAGAAAGCTATGGGTACTAAACTTCATTTTAGTACAACTTTTTATCTACAAACAGATGGTCAGTCAGAAAGAACTATTCAGACTTTGGAAGACATGTTACGAGCTTGTGTACTACAGTTCAAAGGGAATTGGAAATACTCATCTTTCTTTGACGGAATTTGCTTATAATAACAGTTATCATTCGAGTATAGAAATGGCTCCTTTGAAGCACTGTATGGTAGAAAATGCAGAACTCCAGTATGTTGGGATGAAGTTGGTGAAAGAAAGTTATTGGGTCCTGAATATATCCAGATTACGAAAGTAAAGATAGTTACAGAAACGTTAAAAATAGCGAAAGATAGATAGAAGAACTATGCAGATAGACGCAAAAGAAACCTTGAATTTGAAGTTGGGGACAGAGTTTTCCTATGATTGTTTCCATGGAAAGGTGTTATCAGATTTGGTAAATGAGGTAAATTGAGTCCGAGGTATGTTGGTCCATATGAGATTGTTGAACGCATCAGTTCAGTTGCGTATCGATTGGCTTTGCCAACAGAATTGTTTAGAATTCATGATGTATTCCATGTTTCTATGCTTCGTAAGTATATTCCAGATCCATCTCATGTTTTGGAATCAGAACCAGTAGAGCTGAAAGAAAATCTTACCTATGAAGAAGAACCAGTTCAGATATTGGATAGGAATGAACAAGTTTTTCGTCGTAAGACTATTCCTTTAGTTAAGGTCTTGTGGAGGAATTATGCTATGGAAGAAGTGACATGGGAAAGTGAAGAGCAGATTCGTTCTCAGTGTCCCCAGATTTTCCGTACTTAGTTAATTGAATTTCGAAGACAAAATTCTTTTAAGGGGGTGAATTTTGTAATATTTTAATTAATTCAAAAGAAAAGTCAAATTAAAAAAAAATTAAAAAGAAAAAGAAAACGGCAGGCGGCTATGCCAAACCAACCCATTTCCAATGTAATTATATATATATGTAATCTAAATCTTTAACACGCACATTAAACACAAAAAAAAAATGATGCAGAGAAGAAGAAGAGAGAAAAAGAGAAGGGAAAAAAGGGAAAAGAGGAAGAAAAAGAAGAAAAAAGGGAAAACTCGCCAACGTGTTAGGAATTAAGTGGGTTAAATTAAATTCAATTTTGAAAGGTAAGTAAAAGTTACTTATTGAAAGGTTATGTTTGATTTTATAGTTGTTAGGTTGTTAAATTAAATTCAATTTTATTGAAGAGGTTAAGTTTAATAAACTATGAAATTGAGTAAAATGAAAGAAAAATTAGTTTAGTAATTAAAGAGACTTTAGAAATCGCCTAAACGTGAAATAATTAAGTTTGGATATCGCCTATTTAATTAATGAAATTCTTAAAATAGTTAATTATTGATTTAAAAATGATATCATATCTCATGCGGCGATACGGATATCGGGACAGCGTATCAATTGAGTTGATTTTGGCGTACATAGTTCCGTGAATGGAAAAATATAAATATTTTTAAAGTATTTATAAATTAAGTATATTGTTAAAGTATGTGCAATTATATGCAATTATTGTTCGAATTATATGGTTATTATGGAAATATCTTTTATTGTGATACATGTGAGATTTTAAAGATTGTATACAGTATATTGTGAATTGGAATATGAGGTATGATTTTGAGATCGACCAGAAAAGTACCCGTGATTATATATTTCTTCTAGTTCACTGAGGGGATTTGGCCGTGTTCTATACTACACTAAGGGGTCTTGGACCGGGGATGAAGGGGTCTCGACTGTGTATATATAGTTCACTGAGGGGTCTTGATCGTGTTCTAGAATTGATTATAAGAGATCTTTGAGATCGACACAGAGGGGCCAAAAGTCGTGGCGAAAGTTCTTAGCTCGAGGGGCAGATTATATATTTCAGTCAGATGGTACATTTTTGGTGAATTTTTCAACACGTTTGATGTGATGAGATTATAACATAGTTATCAGCTGATGTTTATATCATGATTTTAAGATGACATTTTATGACCTTATGTGAATATTTCACTTTTTGGCTATAATTACATGATGGTAGCTTGTAAATTATCAAATGATATGAATTTGATTTTCAATAAAAATGTATAAATGAAAATTTATATTTATTTTGAACTTCTCTACTCACTGAGCTATCAATTCATATATTTTTTCACGTTTTTCCTTATCAAGTAGAGTTGAGAATCTAAGCATTTTTTGGAGTTAAGCCTTGATTTTGGAGTCAGAGCCACACGACATAGTTTGTTAATATGACTCACTTCATAGAACATGTAGTCAGTGTTTTGAGACGCATGTTCGTGTCTAGATGTAATTTTGCATCACTTGTAGATAGTTATAGGGCTCACTATGTATTATGTATCTATATGTATATTTCATTTTATTATTTGGCAAAAGTTGAGATTTCGGATTATCTTTATTGTGATGTGCTATAATTTGGGATTTGTGTGAAATTGATCACAGGTTGGCTAGTCCTGTTTACAGGTGAGATAATGCCGAAATCCTGTTAAAAAAATGATGTATAAAAAGTGATATATTGTATTTGTAGTAGCCTTGATGGTGGGTCCGACTTTTAATTGGTATCTATCATCGGCGCATGCTACGTCCGAATCTAGTGGTGTTACACGAGGCGGGGTGTGTCAACTTGAGCCTTTCTTATTACCTTAACTTTTAAGTTTCAATTATACTACATGTAAATTATAAATTACAGATTTATTTATCGATATCATCTTATAAGATATGATTTGAAAATATATGATTGAGCCACAATTTCACCAACTAAAAATAAAATTCTCTAACTTCTTTTTTTGGTCGCTTCACCAATTTATAAAAGAATACATAAATGATGATGTTCAAATAGCATTATTATTTAGTTTTAATGCCGTTCGTGCCTCTCACCACCACTCGATTTCTCTTGAAAATGTGGGAAAATCGAAATAATTGCATTGAAAGATTACAAAGTATTGCGACACTGTAACTTTTTATATTAAAGCTCCAAGTATAAGAAAATTTTAACAAAATTGATATTGACAGTTACGTGGCCAAATTAATTGGC